TACCATTAACTAATCTAATTGGTTTTATATACCCTTCTTGAATTAAGATCCACATACAATAATCTAGTGACTGTAAGACATACATGTTTTTAAGAAAATCAAAAGGGATATTGTCAAATAATGAAGGTCTCGTGATCGAGTATCCTTCGGGTATGTTTTGATTTCCAAAAGTAACCATGCTCGTTTTTCAAAAAGTTATTTAAACTTATGGTTTTGAAACAAAGTTATGATATCACTTGTTGAATCTTGATTTGGTTGCTAAACCTAAGATAATGTCTCAAGGCTAACCAAGAGGGAGGATGAATTGGTAATTTTAAAAATTACTCTTGGATTTAAAAATTAAAAACCTTTAAAGATTCGTAGTAAGTTAATTGATAATATTTGAAAATAAAATTTTCAAATATTGAATAAAATACATAAATTTAAAGGACATAAGGATTTATAGTGGTTCAGTCAAACATGACCTACATCAACTCCATGAAGACTCTCTCTTTAGGTATTGCACTACTACTAAAAGTGTCTCTCCTTTTGCTCCCACATCAAGGCTGAGAAGTCATTACAAAACTCTCTTCCACCAATCCCCGGTGCGGCAGAGAATCATCATCCTTTCACACTCTCTAAGTGTGGGTAGAGAACCATCGTCCTTTCACACTTTCCAAATTTTGATAGAGAACCATTGGTTGTTCACACTCTCTAAGTGTCGGCAGAAAATTATCATCTTTTTACACTCTTCAAGTGTTAGTAGAGAACCGTCGTCTTTTCACACTTTCCAAGTGTCGGCAAAGAACCATTGGCTGTTCACACTCTCTAACTGTCGGTAGAGACCATTCATCTTTTCACACCTCCAAGTATTAGCAGAGAATTGGATCTTCTTCAAAGATCTTCTTACGAGCAATCTTGAAAGATAAGAGGAAAAATGAAAACCTAAATTACACAGAGATCCTTACCTTTGAGTAATCTTGTGAACTCTTCATACTCCACTAGTAATAAATCTCTCTTAAATACTCTCTCATACTCTCTATTTTAATTATCCTTGAAAATCACAAAGACAAGATTTTTTCACGTTAGTTTTTAGTAGACTGTTTATACAAAGTACATGAAAAATTATCCAAAAAATTGATGTTTTAAATTTTGAGCAAATATGATCGCACAATATGATCGGATTTTGTACGTACGAACATTTCAAATACTGTTGCGTATGAACCTATTATGAATCAGTACAAAATCAGTTCATACCCGATCATCGTCCGGTATGAACCAAGTTCGTCCGGGACAAACAGTTGGAAAATTTTTAATGGCGTACATATGATGGCGTACGCCATTAAAAATTTATACGAAAAAGAACCCCATTATTTCATACTTTTGATGGCGTACATATGATGATGTCATCATCGGGTACGATCAGTTATAAATTTTTTTTAAAATTCGTCTGAACAAAACTTTGGGATGAAATGGAACCTCACAATTTCGTACTCTAGAAGGCAGGTACGAACTGGGTTCGTACAATACGATCCATACTTAGAAAAAATATTTTTTAGTGAGAACGAACTCGTCAATTTCATACTCGTGAAAGCATGTATGAACTGTGATTGTCCCGACGATCCATACTTTGAAAAAATTATTTTTGAGTGAATAAGGACCTGTCCATTTCGTACTCTAGAAGGCATGTACGAACTAGGTTCATACAGTACGATCCAAACTTAGAAAAATTTTTATTTATGTTCGTTCGACTGCTCATCGGGAAAAAATAACTGACCAGATCGTCCCGTACGAACAGATATCATATAGTACGATCAGTTTTTAAAAAATGTGAATTTTAAACTCTCCCCCGGTGTGTGTGTGCAAAGTTACTCAATTACAATCACACTCTCTCAGACTAAATAAAATGAAAAATATAAACTTTAATTACAATAAACTCTAAACTGATCTTGATTTGAAGTCCTCAACAATCTGAAGTATGATTTTCCTGAAATGTTAATACACACAAGAGCAAAATAATTTTTTAAAAATATGTTAGGAGAAATAATAATCAAAACAATAGTATTTGGAATCATAAAAAATATACAAGTTGCAAGAATATCAAACATGCAAATGTAATCAAAATATAAATTAATTTAAAATATAATAATATTTCAAACCTAAAATTAGGATTCATTGTCCAAAAAAATAAACTGTGTACTAGGCTTAAGTGATCAACCTATTAAGCTTTATGTTTTATTTTTGCAAATTTGATTTATTTAATATCCATCGGTTGTTTATCACTACCAAAAAAATATGTCTATCGCATCACAATTTTTGGCCTATCCCGGTGGTTATAACTACCACAATTTCCTTTGCAGCGGTTTTAAAACCGCTGCACCTCCGCTGCAATTGCAATGCGCTGCAACGACATTCCGCAGTGGTTTAAGGACCGGCGGGGTAGATCTGATGAAGTGCAGGATTTATCAGCGGTTATAACCGCCACAAAAATCTAGATTTGCAGTGGTTATAACCGCCATAAATTCTATCTAAATAAATTGATTTTCAGTATTGTGGCGGTTTTACCCACCACAAATCTGAATTTGTGTGGCGGTTATAACCGCCACAAATGTCCAAAATTTATTTTAAAAAAAAAATACACAAAACCTGAATGCTTAATTTGTAGGACTCCCATTATATTTTTTATTTAACAAGAAAGAGTTCTTCAGAACTCTTCCTAAGTTCAACTTTTAGGATTTATCATAACAAGTTAGTAAACATAAATTAACAATGGCATTCAGCCAAAAAGGGAGCTGATGAGCCATTTGTGTTGAAAATGGTTGCATTCAAACAAAGATACAAGTTCTGAATCCATGGGTAATGCTAGCTTTCACTATCATGATCATCGTTACAGAGAACAAGCTTCCAATTAGATCACAACTTAAACAAGCTTCCCATTAGATAACAACAGGCGGCACAAGTGCAATATGTGAATGTTTAGAGAAATGAGTAAAACAGAGACCAAAGCTTATTCTTTAGATTTCTCTTTCGTATTTCTTGTTTCACTGTTACAAGAGTTATTTATAGCTATTGTTACAGATGATTAGTTACATCTTTGTGGATAAAAATTAATCGCAGACATATGGTTAAGAGACAACCACGAAGCAAGACAATTAGTTACAACATGATCTTGCTTACACAATATTGGCCCTAGGCCTAGTGCTTTCAACAGGTGGCACAATTCCAACAAGCTTCCAGTAATTCCACACAGTGCTATCTTATCAGACTTCCAAATCTATCGGGTGGGCTGTGATTATATCTCCATCCCTGGTTGTACCAAGATCCAGTTTACAAGAACCATCCTGTTTACAAAATAAAAATCTTATAATCACAACTTCCAAATTTAAATCAGCAAAATCAGGACGATATTTTGAACAGTACAGATCGGCCTGGACGATCTAAATATCGTCCCGGACGATCCTGAGAGGAAAATCCAAGTCAGAGAGGAACAATAAGGGAACGAGGTCTCACAGACCCGGCAACCCGCCGGGTCAACCCGAACCAGACCCGTTTTTTAAACGGGTCGAATTTGTGAACCCGAACCCGACCCGTTTATCAAACGGGTCGGGTCCAACCCGAATTTTCCGGGTCGGATCCGAGTCGGGTTTTCGGGTCGTGTCAAAAGTTGACACCCCTAAATGATACTATTCTATGCATGATTTTTAACACTACACAATAACTCATCACATTGGATATATGTAGAAGATTTAGACACACATTGCCAACATCTAGCCTTTTATGATGCTCAGTATGTCATGTTATCAAAAATAAAAATCAAAAGTAATCATAGAATATCAAAACTTAAAATTCTATTGTTAATTTCAAATCATAGAATGTCCATGAGCAAATAAAAACTCTACTAGATATGTTCATTGTAAATAGTTATAGATCTAGAAGATCTAGCAAAATAAAAACGCTGCTCAAGTCTAAGATAATCATCCAAATACAACAGCAAAACAAAATTATAGTAATTAACAATTTAGAGAAGGGATAGAGCCACCATACCTTCTCTCGTTTCTTTCACGCTAATGCCACAAAAAATTTGACACATTCACTACACAAACAAAAACCCCACATAAACAAAAGATGTAGCTGAAACAAAAACTCCACTTAAATCATAGAGATTCACAACAAATTATTAGAAGTCCACCTGTAGCAAATCTTCCTCTAGCTGATGAAATATCAAGACTCGTAGCAGTTAGATACTTCAAAATTAAAAATTGCCCCAATCTGATCTCTCTCGGAAGACTTCGAGAAGTGAATTAATATCCATCAAGTCTTAAGAACATTTTGAAGAAATGAAGTGAATGTGCATTGACCTCTTCAATTAGCAAGTCCAAACACAGAACTATGCAATCATTTCATTTGAGAAGTTGAAACAAGGGAATGAATTATTTTTATTGAACATAATAATTATGTTTTTGAAATAATTAATTTATGACACACTAAAAAAAATTATATCACCATTATAGTCCTTAATAAATGCCATTTTGTTCCATGTAATACACCTGTAAAAAGCAAAAAACAGGACTTCTGAAATTTTTTATTTTTAGTTACAAGAAAAATAAATGCATTAAATTCAAATGCATTTCTTATTTTTTAATTTAGATATTTCAAAAGTTTTGGATTTTGTTGATTTAAACGAATTTAAAATACACCACATGTGTGAATTTTCACGATTGGCTGCTTGCCGCAATCGACCATAGCCCTTTTTGCCATCGCCGTTCTCCATTAGTGCTGCTATGGGGAATTTAGAAGAAAAATAAAAAAAATAATAAACTATATTTTTTGTGTTATTCAATCCAATAATTAAAATATATATATTAATTGTAGTATATTGATTTTATATTATATTATTATTATTTCGCATTCTTTTTCAGAACAAAAAAAAAGTTTATGCTCCTTTTAATTTTTAAACGAGCTTTATCATTTAATTCTAAAAATAAAAATTAATAAAAAATGAGAAAAAGTGGAACTGGTAAGAGTTCAAAAATAAAAATTAATAAATAAAGTTTTTAACGAATTTATACATACATACACTCTGCCCAGGCTTTTAACAAAAAAAAAACTTAAAATAGATCCACGTGCCGAACACGTCCACGGTAATTTTTTTAGGTGGGCATTGAAGGCTGGGCAATGGAATTCCTGGCATACCGGCCGCTACTCTGAATTCGCCGTTCGCTACATGCCAGTTCTTACTATGCCACACAAGTTTTTCCGCACAGAACATCGAAACATCCGCAGGTAGGCCCCACCTCCCTCGACTCATTCAAATGGCAAGCACGAGCCCCGGCATCGACCTGCCGAGTTGCCCCCGGCTCTCCCAAACCGTCGGACCGCCGGAGCTCCCATCGCTGACCACCCACCCCGAAGCCGGATTTGTCGGGCTGAGTTCCCGAACGGTCACGCGAGTGTTGAAGTACTCACGGAACTTAGTTATGATACCGCCCTCCACCGCCCAGACGTGAACCCAGTAGACGTCTTCCCGGTTCTCCCACCCCTCCGCCACCACCCACTTCCCCAATTCGACCACCAGCCGCGGCCTGAACCGGAATCCGCGCTTATCTTCCTCTTCCACTCCGGTGAGCACGCGCATCATGTGCTCCCGGCCCGGTGGACCGTGGAACCACCACTCAAGGTCTGGAGTTAAAAGCACAGCAACCTTCTCCGTCTCGCCACTCGCTAGCCCTTCGTACAACTCCAGCACTATCTGCTTCTTCTCTTCCATTTATTCTATGGGTTTGGTTTTCTTTTGATTTTGCCTGGTTGAATGAATGACGAAGGTGTTCGCAGATTGTATTTATAGAGTCGGGAGAAAAGTATGGAAGTGGCAGGAGTTCATGATTGGATGGCTGTGATCTTCTCCGACAGCCTGGATTATATTATTAGCCACTTATTTTGGACTTCAGCCTATTGGTGTTTGGCCGCACGCCGTAGTGATCATGCCGGGTGCAACTGATTTGAAATGACGGATCTACCCTTTTATTACTTTGTACAATTATTGAAGTTAGGGCATTTTCCTTGGCAGAATTTATTTGCAACCTCTGCATTTTTAGAAGACTGTTAGTATAATCTTACGTAATTATTTAATTAAAGTTCGAAAAATTATATGCTTGTTATAGTGAAAATATTGTATGGATATTATTTCAAAAATATTGGGAATTTCTGCATTTTTAGAAAAAATTGAAATCTCAAACAAGTAGAATTTTTCCTATTTGCCAAAGTGATCTTTATATTTCTTTCGAAGTCTATTTTTCCCCCTAAAAACCTCTAAACTTCCTATATTTAAAGGATTTTGGGGGCTATAGAATAGGCTATATAAAAAAAAAAGGATAAAAATACATTGCTACACAAAAATGCTGCACCATATTTTATATGTGTGTTGCCCTCTTATTGGCAAAATAACTAAGATGGATCATTCATCTTTGCATGACTAAGGTAGTACTTAGTATGCAATGGGGGAGTGGGTTATAGGACAAGCTCTATGATAATTTGTATACCATCGAGGTGGTATAAAGTTGGACAAGCTCTGTAGTAGTATATTGTTTGGGAGTTGCATTCAACTTGCTCTGAGTCTTTGATCAGCATGACGGAATGGTTGAGTGTACTAAGGTTGTTGAGGTAAGATGATGTGGTATGCATAATTATGGTGAGTAATTAAGGCACCTTAGGTGAGAGTCCTCCTATAGTAGAGCTTGGATGAGGGGATGATGCTCTATAGTTGGAGCTAGTGACTAAGACAACAGCAAGTGAAAAAGTACTTGCTTGATGACATATCCTAGATTATCCCCGCCTAAGGAGAACTCCTTACACTACAGGAAAATCAGTTATTATCGACGACATTTTTCAGTGATTTTGTAAATTTTCGGTTGCTATCCGACGACAAATTTTTCGCCGGTAAAACACGAGTAGGAAAAATATTTCTAGCAGTATTTTTCCAGCGGCAAATATTTCCTGTGTTTTTTCGACGGAAAAAGACCCCGAAAAATATCTAAAATTTAATTTAAAAAAAATTATCGGCTTCCTGGCAAGCCTTATGTTAATAATTAATTAAATATGTTATTATATTAATAATTAATTAGACTAATTTATTAAATTAATAATTAATTAAAATAAATTAATAATTAATTAAAAATAAACTAATTTATTAATTAATTAAATTAATTAAGAAAAAATACTATTAGGCGACGAAAAACTGCCAAAAATTCTTCAAAAAAATTAGGCTGCGAGAAAGCCGCCGGAAAAATGTGTCGGTAATTGATGATTTTCCTGTAGTGTTAGTTGGTTTAAATGACATAAGAGAACTCTTCTTGTGGGAGAGTGTCCTTGTTACGACTTAGTTAATTTCATTTTAAAACACGTATAAAGGCATTAAAGCACAAGAAATCATCACCCAAGATGTTGCCAAGAGACTATATATCAACTTTGATTTCCTTGTTATATTCTACTATGAATCACATTTTAAATGTTCTCATGATGTTGATATTTACTCATATTAATGTGAAATACATCCAATAATATTTAGTTCTTTTTAGTCACCACTCATATAATACTCCATTATTTTTGCAAGTTACTATCTCTTCAAAATTACATGGGGGAAAGAGGTGTTGATTCGTATGAAATTAGTGGAGAGTTATCATTTGTTTCCCTTGGACTTAAAAGATGGTGAACTAACATAGAATTATTATTGTAAAAAGTCAATACTATTTTATAAACATTTTTGTTTTGGTTTTTTTTATTAAAAGGAAGAACTCATGGTAGAGTTATTCATGTATGAAGGCATGAGGGTGTAGCAAAAAAATAATAGTACTTTATAATATTAAAGAGTTGACTAGGGTGAATTTCCTATTTTCAACCTTGATTGATCTTATTTGATTAGTTTGAACCTTTCAAACCTACTTTAACTATAATTAAACTATATAATCATTAAAAAATTAAACCAAACATAAAGGGCTCAACTTAACCTAAATGAGCATGAAGTTTCCTAAACCTCGAGCTGAACGATCCTAGACTTTTACATAGATGTCTTTAGGTTATTAGAATACCTTGGTTATAAATTTGATCTATTGATGGGACCACTATGCCCATATGACTGAATTTGACATATATGGGTTCATATAGGCCAAAGGAGGCAAACTAACCAGAAATATCATTGTAAAATAATCTATTGAATTTAAGCGCTAGTGATGATGTTTTAAGCATGAAAAAAAAAAAATCTAATCAATACAATTTGACAAAAGATTTGACCATTTTTGGTCAAAAAGGTGAAAGTTATCAAAATAAGGACATCCACATTTCAAGGTTGTTTAGCATAATAATTTAAACTAGGTGAAATAATTTTCTGTTATTCTTTTTGAGAATGTAAGAGAAGAAAATATAGTTCAACACAACTATGTTTGACCCTCATAAATATGCCAATCAACTAATCTATGCCTACAAATCTACTATTTATTTAGCCCACATAAAGGTAGTCAAAATCATTGCCAATTATTCTATATTAAATAAATTGAATTGTCCTAATTAAGCCAGATTAATGTTAGTCGAACCTTAAGAAATTTTTATAGTTTTTTTTTTAGATTTTCAATGAGCAGACTTATTACCCAAAGTCTATGAAATTTTTTTATCAAAAGTGCATAATACTATCAGGGATTAGAGGAAAAATTTTAAGAAAAAAATTCATAATTTTTAAATTTTAAAAATCATAAATCCTCTATTTTAATTACAAAATTTGTCAATATATTTCCCAAAGTTCCAAAATATTTTTGGATGTTCAACTATGTCCTGATACACCTCTCATAAAAATTATTAAGTCTAGATGAATCATGAGATGCAAACTATAATTTTCATGCCAAAAACATGGTGCACAAAATTCCATAATTAGGATTTTAATTTAAAATTGTGAGAAATTTATAGAATGTTATTGGTATGTTTTCGCACCTCTCTAAGTTTTTTGGTAACTTATAGAAGTCATCTGGTATGGTTAATTATATAAAAATAGAGATTTTATCTATTTTTAAATTTTCATGCCCCTCTGTATAATTTACTTGAGCAAACTTTATGAGTTCAGAATTATTGGAGAAAATTTTGTTTGGGAATTCAAATTTCTAAGATGATTCAAAATGTATGCCAAGTTAATCAAACCTAAATCTCTATTAAGCCCTAAGTTGCCTATGTTGAACTATTTCAAAATAACCATACCACTTAATTATAATTTTTTTTGTGTAGCACTAGGATCATCAAAAGTTCAAGATAATAAAAAAGATCCATCCACCATACCATAATAAAAAAACATTGCAGCTAAGCATAGTAAACCCATCACTAAGAGCAAGATGAAGGCCCTAAGCTATTTTTCTAGTCTAATTAATAATTATGAAGGCATTATATTTCTTTCTATTGGCATATATGTTTTTGCAATGGTAATTGGGGTGGCATCTATTATAGGAGTCACAAGGTAGATGTTGAGTTCTTTTCTCCAAATCAAATTTTCTTCACACTCATATATTATCATACTTTCTTTTTACCTATTATGGATGGGTACAACTCTATCTATTTGGACCAAGAGAGATGGGAGAGGCTAATTTCCACTATTCTTTTTAAGGGTTTTTCAAGGGTTTCATCTAAGATTGATGAGCAAGAATTCCTTTCTTTTTCTTGCTTAGATGACATCTTTTACCAATCATAAAAGATGATGACACACTTTTGTGACAAGGCCATGATTTTTATGGAAGCAAAAATACTTTGAGGTATCTTGAGTTGCACATTTTCCATAATTCATAGGTGTTGACTGTTGTAAAAGTTTTTTTCCTGAGTGCCCTTAACCAGCTCAGCCATGGACAATCTCAATGGAATGTAAGTAGGGTAGTTTAAAAAGTAATGTGCTATATATTTATGGTCGGGACAAGTGACGTAAGGGAGATTCCTCCACCATTGATGTTGGTAATAGTGAAATTCTTACGGTCTAGGTTATAAGGGCACTCTCTAGTACTCTAAATGATAACATTCTTGTGGTGGGTCTTCTTTCCCTCCTATCCATTGGATGACCCTTTCTTGGTATGACCGTCACTATTGGTCTCTTCTATGGGCAAGTTATAGTGTAGGTTTAGCTACTATGTTATATTCCACAATATTAAAATGATTGTTATATAGCTCCAATAGTCTTGTAGGTCTCTTGAATTGTTGTAAACTAACCACATAATGAAAATGACACTCTCAGAGTCCTTCAGTCAAAGCGGCCTTGGAAACAATAGGTTATAAGTCTTTAGCTTTAAACATCTCTCTTTAAAAGCTCACTATGAAGTTCCTTAGTGACTCTTCTGCCTCTAAGTACATCTATGACAGAGCTTGTGAACACTTCTATAACTTATTAGTAGTTGTAATCTATTTCCCAAACATCTATTTAAATTCATAGAATGAGGTCATGGCCACAAATAGCTTGTGAGTTAATCACTCATGTGCTAATTTCTTAAGTGTTGTGAATAAATGACATGTAAGGGAATTATTAATATTCAATATGGAGGTCATCAACTAAAAGGTGGTTACATGGTTCATTGGATCAATTCTTGTCCCTTTAGGACTCTAAATGTGATAGCTCCTTAAACTTGGGAAGTGGCCTAACTTGTCCTATCCCCATTGAGAAAGTATTGGTCAACTTGATTGACTCCTAACTTGTTTAAAATGTTGATCATATTCTTCATTACTCATTAGTGTGCGAGTAGGATCAAGGATCAATTTTGAGATTAGTGTTGTGTCGTCTAGTATCCTATGATGATTTTTTG